AACCAACAGTTACCTTGATCCATCTTGCCTTAATGTGAGCTGTAACAGTAACCTCAGAGCTGCTGCACTCAATGATTTGATTCATTCTGTTGTTGAAAAACAGGGATTCTCAATATTGTCAAAATGGCTATAGTACCCAAAGCAATCTACAGATTCAAGGCAATCCCTATCAAGCTACCAACGGCAGCTTTCAGAGAACTAGAGCAAATAATTTCACAATTTGTATGGAAATGCAAAACACCTCGAATAGCCAAAGGAATCTTGAGAAAGAAGAATGGAACTGGAGGAATCAACCTGCCTGACTTCAGACTATACCACAAAGCCACAGTCATCAAGACAGTATGGTACTGGCACAAAGACAGAAATATAGATCAATGGAACAGAACAGAAAGCCCAGAGATAAATCCACGAACCTATGGTCACCTTATCTTCGACAAAGGAGGCAAGGATATACAGTGGAAAAAAAGACAACCTCTTTAACAAGCGGTGCTGGGAAAACTGGTCAGCCACCTGGAAAAGAATGAAACGAGAACACTGTCTAACACCATACACAGAAATAAACTCAAAATGGATTAAAGATCTAAACGTTAAGACCAGAAACCATAAAACTCCTAGAGGAGAACACAGGCAAAACACTCTCCGACATAAATCACAGCAGGATCCCAGAGTATTAGAAACAAAAGCGAAAATTAACAAATGGGACCTAATGAAACTTAAAAGCTTTTGCACGACAAAGAAACTATAAGCGAGGTGAAAGGACAGCCCTCAGATTGGGAGAAAATAACAGCAAACGAAGCAACACACAAAGGATTAATCTCAAAAATATACAAGCAACTCCTCCAGCTCAACTCCAGAAAATAAATGACCCAATCAAAAAATGGGCCAAAGAGCTAACCAGACATTTCTCCAAGGAAGGCATACAGATGGCTAAAAGACACATGAAAAGATGCTCAACATCACTCATTATCCGAGAAATGCAAATCAAAACCACAATGAGGTACCATTACACGCCAGGCAGGATGGCTGCTATCCAAAAAGTCTACAAGCAATAAATGCTGGAGAGGGTGTGGAGAAAAGGGAACCCTCTTACCCTGTCGGTGGGAATGCAAACTAGTACAGCCGCTATGGAAAACAGTGTGGAGATTTCTTAAAAAACTGGAAACAGAACTGCCCTATGATCCAGCAATCCCACTTCTGGGCATACACGCCGAGGAAACCAGATCTGAAAGAGACACGTGCACCCCAATGTTCATCGCAGCACCGTTTATAATAGGCAGGACATGGAAGTAACCTAGATGCCCGTCAGCAGACGAATGGATAAGGCAGCTGTGGTACATATACACCATGGAATCTTACTCAGCCATTAAAAAGAATTCATTTGAATCAGTTCTAAAGAGATGGATGAAACTGGAGCCCGTTATACAGACTGAAGTAAGCCAGAAAGATAAAGACCATTACAGGATACTAACACATATACATGGAATTGAGCAAGATGGTAACCATAACCCTATATGCAAAACAGAAAAAGACACACAGATGTATAGAACAGACTTTTGGACTCTGTGGGAGAAGGCGCGGGTGGGATGTTTCAAGAGAACAGCATCGAAACACGTATATATAACCTAGGGTGAAAGAGATCACCAGCCCAGGTTGGATGCAGGAGACAAGTGCTCGGACCTGGTGCACTGGGAAGAGCCAAAGGGATCGGGTCGAGACGGAGGTGGGAGGGGGGATCGGGATGGGGAATACATGTAAATCCATGGCTAATTCATGTCAATGTATGACAAAAAAATTTGTAAAGTCATTAGCCTCCAACTAATAAAAATAAATGAAAAAAAAAAAAAAAACCAGGGATTCATTGAGCTGCATGGGAGATGAATTCTGTCATTAGAAACTTTGCCACCAGGCTTAAGAAATATATTTAGAACTCATTTCTTTCAGGAAACAGGTTTCAAGATCTCCATAAGAAGTCTTTTATTAAGATAAATCACAGCTTTGTCAGTTTCTCCAGAAGTACCCTCTTTTTAATTCCCAAGGAGAATGGCAATAATAAAACTAAATTAACCGAGTAGGTTATTTTCTCTCTAATGGCCCCTGTCTTGATTAAGAGGATTCCGGTCGACGTATTTCCTGGGCTTCCCTGGTGGCTCAGGTGGTAAAGAATCTGTCTGCAATGCAGGAGACCTGGGTTTCATGCCTGGGTTGAGAAGATCGCCTGGAGAAGGGAATGGCCACCTCTTCCAGTATTCTTGCCTAGAGAATTCCACGGACAGAGGAACTGGGAAGGCCACAGTCCATGGAGTCACAAAGAGTCGGACACAGCTGAGCAACTAATACACATATTTTCTTACCATTTGCTTAGCAGAAGCAATCATTCATAGCATTTTATAGCACTTTCTAAAGAACATTTTGTGCCTTTTTTCTCTTTTGTAAGCTCCACCAGGTCTTGGTTGCCACACATGGGATCTTTCATTGTGGCGTGCACACTCTTCCTTGCAGTGAATGGGATCTAGTTCACTGGCCAGAGATTGAACCCAGGCCCCTGCATTGGGAGCAGCCACTGGATCGCCAGGGAAGCCCTCTAAAGAACTCTTAAAGTGAAACTTTTTGGATGTTCGCAGCAGCTCTGGGCAGTCCTAGTGATGATACTTGTTCTGCACTCTTGAGCCCGTGACCTCCCTGAGGGACACAGGGGCCAAGCGAGCAGATGCTACCCCAGCGCCAGACCACAGGGCCAGACTGGCAGTGTAAACTCCCTTCCAGTGATGTCCTCTTTTTACTGTTCCTCTGGTCAATTCAGTACTGTTTCCTTGGAGCTTGTGTTTAAAAGGAAATCCTAGATGTGTTCAAACATTACTGCCCACTTTCAGATGGATTGATATCTACCTAGGACTTCTCTATTAAACCCACCTGCCTGAGTACTGTGACTTGATTGGAGTTTTCTTGAAGTCACTCCTGAAGCACTGTGATGGCTTTGTCTAACATTAATAGATTTTTTAAAATGATATGTGTTGGGGAATGGCTATGAAAAAAGGGGAGAATCTGTTGCTACTGCAAACCAATTAAGGAGGCAACTTAAAAAGGAAATCTGAATTGTAACTATGTTTCTATTTCTGTAAAATACTGTCCTTACCTTGCAGTCTGTAGTTGATGTGCCCAGACACAGTAGTGGCTCTCGGGTTGCTCTTCTGCCATCTTCCTGTCTCCTTCAGTCCCTGCATGCGTATAGGAACTTCAGTGAGATAATGGGGCATTTAACACAGATTAATACTCTGTGCAATACTGTATTTAGTGTTTCTACTTTAAAGTTTCTAGGATGTTAATTTACATGCAAATAAAATACATGATAAGAGAGTTCTCTGCCTATTGTGTCTATATGACCTAAAAGTAAATGCAAAATATTTATCCCAGAGGGAAAATAAGTTAGAGCGTCTGTGTTCAAAGATTTTTGAAAGTTCTTATCTCAGGCCGAACCGTTGCTGGTGAACAGTGAAAGTCGCTCTGTCATGTCTGACTCTGCGAACGCATGGACTGTACAGTCCATGGAATTCTCCAGGCCAGAATACTAGAGTGGGTAGCCGTTTCCCTTCTCCAGGGGGTCTTTGCAACCCAGGGATCGAACCCAGGTCTCCTGCACTGCAGGTGGATTCCTCACCAGCTGAGCCACCAGGGAAGCCTGAACAGTTCTTGGCAGTTAAGGATTTAACAACTGCTAGAGTGTAAAGACAAAATAGTAATTCCGCTACATTAAAACACATTTTCTTAAGTGCAAATCTTCTCAATGCAGTTTTAGGGAAGAAGTATTTCCCCCTTATGGAAATATCAGTATGTTAATTCCTAAGAAGTCCTTTCTCGAAAAGTTGCAAAAATTCATATGATGTAGATTAAATGGTGATAAAAATTGAGTTGATCTCAGTGAGGCAGCAGTGAGTGGTGGCGTGAAGTGAGATCTAATTCGCTGCCCAGGAACTGAACCTGGGTAGCCTGAACGAAAACCAGGAATCCTAGCCACCAGACCAGCAAGGGCTAGAGGCTAGAAGCCAAGTTTCCCTGGATCTTTGACCAGTGAAAAATGCATTCATCATGGAGGCAGAATCGCTACATGCAGGTACAACGTTTATTATCAGAGACACAGCACAGCAACACGTGGGAAAGAACACGGAGGAACAGCTGGTCTAGTTACCACAGAAGCAAAGCAGAGACACACACCTGGAGAGAAAGGTTATGGGCGCCCCCTGGTGACAAGGAGCACAATAACCACGAGGTGGTGAAGTCCTTTATATAGGCCAGTTCTTCTGGGTCTTTGTCTTCCTTCCTGCCAAGTTTCTGGTTTCTTTCTTCACATCTGACCTATCCTGGGCCTCTGCCCTGGTGTGCACATACCCCTCAGCCAAGATGGATCTCCAAGTGGAGGCTTCTGGGAGAAGCGAGGCTCATCATGGTCTGGCACTTTTGCGGGACTTTTCACCCACAAGGAGCCTCTCTGCGCATGTGTAGTGTTTCCCTTCTCCCACAAGGGGGGTGGGGGGAGGGGAGATCTCTTCATCCTTGACTCAAGCAGGGTTTTGTCCCTCTTTGCCCTTGTCATGGCTACTAAAGTGTTCATGAGAGACAGACACTGGTTATTTACCCTCTTTCGGTTGTTACTTCCATTTCACAGGGCAAGCAGGACACTGACTGTAAAGGCTCAACTGGAGCCCAACCATCGCTTGCCTCAGGAAATGTAAACAGGCTAGATGTAAATGCCTAACCTGGAGTCCATCTGTCTCCTCCAGCAGCATTATGGGAAGACAAAAGGCGGAAAATTATGCCAATAAGGCACCACATGATGGTGCAAAAAGATGGATATAGACAAGGAAAGAAGGAATAAAAACTAAGCATTATGCTAATGGCAACCATTATGCAAGTTAATGGGGGGTGGGGGGGAACCTAATGGAAAACACTTGCTTTTATGCCATAAACCATCCTTGAATTCAGGTTGAATTGGATTTTTCACGATAAACTTTTCATCACCTCTGCATTGGCTTGTCGTCTACTTTGTGCAAAAGCCTGGAGCTCCTAACTACTAGGGGGTCTCCCATCCAAGTACTAACTAACCCTGCTTAGTTTCCCCGATCAGAAGACATCTGGCCCGTTCAGGGTGGTATGATCTTAGATGGAGGCGGTTGCCGCCAGGCGCCTTTAAAAACCCTGCGCTGCGCCTGCTTTTCGCTCTGATGTGCCGTGTCGAGCCAGCCGGCCGCACCTTTCCACGGGGCGCGCCGGCCAGGGCCGGCAGCCCGGCCGAAGCCTCCCAGTCCCCACACACCGGCAACCCTGGCCAGCAAACCTGGCCCGGCCCGGGGGCCCGGAGTGTTTCCGGGACCCCGAGCGGCCGGTCGGGCGTGCATGCCTGGGCTTGGGGTTGGGGTGAGGGGTGCGGAGGTCTCGGCGCCCTCCCGCCCTGGGCCTCTCCAGGCCCGCCCCCTGTCAGCGCCCCCCCCGCCCACTCCCGTTCGTGGCTCAGGGCCACGTGGCCCCGGAGGCGTCTGATTCGGGCCCGCCGCGGACCGCGGCCCTCGGTCCTCTGAGCCTCCCTCGGGCATAGGCGGAGCGCAGCCGGGGCCCTGAGCGCCCATCCTGCCCGGCACCTGCCCGGGGCCCAAACCCACTGGGAGCCACCAGCGCGGTCCACCCGAGCGCCTCAGCCCTGCCCCTTCGCCCGACCGCGGCCCCCCTCCTCGCCACGCCACCCGCCAAGCACAGGACCTTCCTGAGGTCCTTAAAATTCTTCCTTCAAGAGTTCTAGGTAAATTTAAGACAGCATCTACTGGATTTTCTCCAAGGGCTAAAAAAACAAACAAACCAACAGTTACCTTGATCCATCTTGCCTTAATGTGAGCTGTAACAGTAACCTCAGAGCTGCTGCACTCAATGATTTGATTCATTCTGTTGTTGAAAAACAGGGATTCTCAATATTGTCAAAATGGCTATAGTACCCAAAGCAATCTACAGATTCAATGCAATCCCTATCAAGCTACCAACGGCAGCTTTCAGAGAACTAGAGCAAATAATTTCACAATTTGTATGGAAATGCAAAACACCTCGAATAGCCAAAGGAATCTTGAGAAAGAAGAATGGAACTGGAGGAATCAACCTGCCTGACTTCAGACTATACCACAAAGCCACAGTCATCAAGACAGTATGGTACTGGCACAAAGACAGAAATATAGATCAATGGAACAGAACAGAAAGCCCAGAGATAAATCCACGAACCTATGGTCACCTTATCTTCGACAAAGGAGGCAAGGATATACAGTGGAAAAAAAGACAACCTCTTTAACAAGCGGTGCTGGGAAAACTGGTCAGCCACCTGGAAAAGAATGAAACGAGAACACTGTCTAACACCATACACAGAAATAAACTCAAAATGGATTAAAGATCTAAACGTTAAGACCAGAAACCATAAAACTCCTAGAGGAGAACACAGGCAAAACACTCTCCGACATAAATCACAGCAGGATCCCAGAGTATTAGAAACAAAAGCGAAAATTAACAAATGGGACCTAATGAAACTTAAAAGCTTTTGCACGACAAAGAAACTATAAGCGAGGTGAAAGGACAGCCCTCAGATTGGGAGAAAATAACAGCAAACGAAGCAACACACAAAGGATTAATCTCAAAAATATACAAGCAACTCCTCCAGCTCAACTCCAGAAAATAAATGACCCAATCAAAAAATGGGCCAAAGAGCTAACCAGACATTTCTCCAAGGAAGGCATACAGATGGCTAAAAGACACATGAAAAGATGCTCAACATCACTCATTATCCGAGAAATGCAAATCAAAACCACAATGAGGTACCATTACACGCCAGGCAGGATGGCTGCTATCCAAAAAGTCTACAAGCAATAAATGCTGGAGAGGGTGTGGAGAAAAGGGAACCCTCTTACCCTGTCGGTGGGAATGCAAACTAGTACAGCCGCTATGGAAAACAGTGTGGAGATTTCTTAAAAAACTGGAAACAGAACTGCCCTATGATCCAGCAATCCCACTTCTGGGCATACACGCCGAGGAAACCAGATCTGAAAGAGACACGTGCACCCCAATGTTCATCGCAGCACCGTTTATAATAGGCAGGACATGGAAGTAACCTAGATGCCCGTCAGCAGACGAATGGATAAGGCAGCTGTGGTACATATACACCATGGAATCTTACTCAGCCATTAAAAAGAATTCATTTGAATCAGTTCTAAAGAGATGGATGAAACTGGAGCCCGTTATACAGACTGAAGTAAGCCAGAAAGATAAAGACCATTACAGGATACTAACACATATACATGGAATTGAGCAAGATGGTAACCATAACCCTATATGCAAAACAGAAAAAGACACACAGATGTATAGAACAGACTTTTGGACTCTGTGGGAGAAGGCGCGGGTGGGATGTTTCAAGAGAACAGCATCGAAACACGTATATATAACCTAGGGTGAAAGAGATCACCAGCCCAGGTTGGATGCAGGAGACAAGTGCTCGGACCTGGTGCACTGGGAAGAGCCAAAGGGATCGGGTCGAGACGGAGGTGGGAGGGGGGATCGGGATGGGAAATACATGTAAATCCATGGCTAATTCATGTCAATGTATGACAAAAAAATTTGTAAAGTCATTAGCCTCCAACTAATAAAAATAAATGAAAAAAAAAAAAACAAACCAGGGATTCATTGAGCTGCATGTGAGATGAATTCTGTCATTAGAAACTTTGCCACCAGGCTTAAGAAATATATTTAGAACTCATTTCTTTCAGGAAACAGGTTTCAAGATCTCCATAAGAAGTCTTTTATTAAGATAAATCACAGCTTTGTCAGTTTCTCCAGAAGTACCCTCTTTTTAATTCCCAAGGAGAATGGCAATAATAAAACTAAATTAACCGAGTAGGTTATTTTCTCTCTAATGGCCCCTGTCTTGATTAAGAGGATTCCGGTCGACGTATTTCCTGGGCTTCCCTGGTGGCTCAGGTGGTAAAGAATCTGTCTGCAATGCAGGAGACCTGGGTTTCATGCCTGGGTTGAGAAGATCGCCTGGAGAAGGGAATGGCCACCTCTTCCAGTATTCTTGCCTAGAGAATTCCACGGACAGAGGAACTGGGAAGGCCACAGTCCATGGAGTCACAAAGAGTCGGACACAGCTGAGCAACTAATACACATATTTTCTTACCATTTGCTTAGCAGAAGCAATCATTCATAGCATTTTATAGCACTTTCTAAAGAACATTTTGTGCCTTTTTTCTCTTTTGTAAGCTGCACCAGGTCTTGGTTGCCACACATGGGATCTTTCATTGTGGCGTGCACACTCTTCCTTGCAGTGAATGGGATCTAGTTCACTGGCCAGAGATTGAACCCAGGCCCCTGCATTGGGAGCAGCCACTGGATCGCCAGGGAAGCCCTCTAAAGAACTCTTAAAGTGAAACTTTTTGGATGTTCGCAGCAGCTCTGGGCAGTCCTAGTGATGATACTTGTTCTGCACTCTTGAGCCCGTGACCTCCCTGAGGGACACAGGGGCCAAGCGAGCAGATGCTACCCCAGCGCCAGACCACAGGGCCAGACTGGCAGTGTAAACTCCCTTCCAGTGATGTCCTCTTTTTACTGTTCCTCTGGTCAATTCAGTACTGTTTCCTTGGAGCTTGTGTTTAAAAGGAAATCCTAGATGTGTTCAAACATTACTGCCCACTTTCAGATGGATTGATATCTACCTAGGACTTCTCTATTAAACCCACCTGCCTGAGTACTGTGACTTGATTGGAGTTTTCTTGAAGTCACTCCTGAAGCACTGTGATGGCTTTGTCTAACATTAATAGATTTTTTAAAATGATATGTGTTGGGGAATGGCTATGAAAAAAGGGGAGAATCTGTTGCTACTGCAAACCAATTAAGGAGGCAACTTAAAAAGGAAATCTGAATTGTAACTATGTTTCTATTTCTGTAAAATACTGTCCTTACCTTGCAGTCTGTAGTTGATGTGCCCAGACACAGTAGTGGCTCTCGGGTTGCTCTTCTGCCATCTTCCTGTCTCCTTCAGTCCCTGCATGCGTATAGGAACTTCAGTGAGATAATGGGGCATTTAACACAGATTAATACTCTGTGCAATACTGTATTTAGTGTTTCTACTTTAAAGTTTCTAGGATGTTAATTTACATGCAAATAAAATACATGATAAGAGAGTTCTCTGCCTATTGTGTCTATATGACCTAAAAGTAAATGCAAAATATTTATCCCAGAGGGAAAATAAGTTAGAGCGTCTGTGTTCAAAGATTTTTGAAAGTTCTTATCTCAGGCCGAACCGTTGCTGGTGAACAGTGAAAGTCGCTCTGTCATGTCTGACTCTGCGAACGCATGGACTGTACAGTCCATGGAATTCTCCAGGCCAGAATACTAGAGTGGGTAGCCGTTTCCCTTCTCCAGGGGGTCTTTGCAACCCAGGGATCGAACCCAGGTCTCCTGCACTGCAGGTGGATTCCTCACCAGCTGAGCCACCAGGGAAGCCTGAACAGTTCTTGGCAGTTAAGGATTTAACAACTGCTAGAGTGTAAAGACAAAATAGTAATTCCGCTACATTAAAACACATTTTCTTAAGTGCAAATCTTCTCAATGCAGTTTTAGGGAAGAAGTATTTCCCCCTTATGGAAATATCAGTATGTTAATTCCTAAGAAGTCCTTTCTCGAAAAGTTGCAAAAATTCATATGATGTAGATTAAATGGTGATAAAAATTGAGTTGATCTCAGTGAGGCAGCAGTGAGTGGTGGCGTGAAGTGAGATCTAATTCGGTACCCAGGAACTGAACCCGGGTAGCCTGAACGAAAACCAGGAATCCTAGCCACCAGACCAGCAAGGGCTAGAGGCCAGAAGCCAAGTTTCCCTGGATCTTTGACCAGTGAAAAATGCATTCATCATGGAGGCAGAATCGCTACATGCAGGTACAACGTTTATTATCAGAGACACAGCACAGCAACACGTGGGAAAGAACACGGAGGAACAGCTGGTCTAGTTACCACAGAAGCAAAGCAGAGACACACACCTGGAGAGAAAGGTTATGGGCGCCCCCTGGTGACAAGGAGCACAATAACCACGAGGTGGTGAAGTCCTTTATATAGGCCAGTTCTTCTGGGTCTTTGTCTTCCTTCCTGCCAAGTTTCTGGTTTCTTTCTTCACATCTGACCTATCCTGGGCCTCTACCCTGGTGTGCACATACCCCTCAGCCAAGATGGATCTCCAAGTGGAGGCTTCTGGGAGAAGCAAGGCTCATCATGGTCTGGCACTTTTGCGGGACTTTTCACCCACAAGGAGCCTCTCTGCGCATGTGTAGTGTTTCCCTTCTCCCACAAGGGGGGTGGGGGGAGGGGAGATCTCTTCATCCTTGACTCAAGCAGGATTTTGTCCCTCTTTGCCCTTGTCATGGCTACTAAAGTGTTCATGAGAGACAGACACTGGTTATTTACCCTCTTTCGGTTGTTACTTCCATTTCACAGGGCAAGCAGGACACTGACTGTAAAGGCTCAACTGGAGCCCAACCATCGCTTGCCTCAGGAAATGTAAACAGGCTAGATGTAAATGCCTAACCTGGAGTCCATCTGTCTCCTCCAGCAGCATTATGGGAAGACAAAAGGCGGAAAATTATGCCAATAAGGCACCACATGATGGTGCAAAAAGATGGATATAGACAAGGAAAGAAGGAATAAAAACTAAGCATTATGCTAATGGCAACCATTATGCAAGTTAATGGGGGGTGGGGGGGAACCTAATGGAAAACACTTGCTTTTATGCCATAAACCATCCTTGAATTCAGGTTGAATTGGATTTTTCACGATAAACTTTTCATCACCTCTGCATTGGCTTGTCGTCTACTTTGTGCAAAAGCCTGGAGCTCCTAACTACTAGGGGGTCTCCCATCCAAGTACTAACTAACCCTGCTTAGTTTCCCCGATCAGAAGACATCTGGCCCGTTCAGGGTGGTATGATCTTAGATGGAGGCGGTTGCCGCCAGGCGCCTTTAAAAACCCTGCGCTGCGCCTGCTTTTCGCTCTGATGTGCCGTGTCGAGCCAGCCGGCCGCACCTTTCCACGGGGCGCGCCGGCCAGGGCCGGCAGCCCGGCCGAAGCCTCCCAGTCCCCACACACCGGCAACCCTGGCCAGCAAACCTGGCCCAGCCCGGGGGCCCGGAGTGTTTCCGGGACCCCGAGCGGCCGGTCGGGCGTGCATGCCTGGGCTTGGGGTTGGGGTGAGGGGTGCGGAGGTCTCGGCGCCCTCCCGCCCTGGGCCTCTCCAGGCCCGCCCACTGTCAGCGCCCCCCCCCCCCGCCCACTCCCGTTCGTGGCTCAGGGCCACGTGGCCCCGGAGGCGTCTGATTCGGGCCCGCCGCGGACCGCGGCCCTCGGTCCTCTGAGCCTCCCTCGGGCATAGGCGGAGCGCAGCCGGGGCCCTGAGCGCCCATCCTGCCCGGCACCTGCCCGGGGCCCAAACCCACTGGGAGCCACCAGCATGGTCCACCCGAGCGCCTCAGCCCTGCCCCTTCGCCCGACCGCGGCCCCCCTCCTCGCCACGCCACCCGCCAAGCACAGGACCTTCCTGAGGTCCTTAAAATTCTTCCTTCAAGAGTTCTAGGTAAATTTAAGACAGCATCTACTGGATTTTCTCCAAGGGCTAAAAAAACAAACAAACCAACAGTTACCTTGATCCATCTTGCCTTAATGTGAGCTGTAACAGTAACCTCAGAGCTGCTGCACTCAATGATTTGATTCATTCTGTTGTTGAAAAACAGGGATTCTCAATATTGTCAAAATGGCTATAGTACCCAAAGCAATCTACAGATTCAAGGCAATCCCTATCAAGCTACCAACGGCAGCTTTCAGAGAACTAGAGCAAATAATTTCACAATTTGTATGGAAATGCAAAACACCTCGAATAGCCAAAGGAATCTTGAGAAAGAAGAATGGAACTGGAGGAATCAACCTGCCTGACTTCAGACTATACCACAAAGCCACAGTCATCAAGACAGTATGGTACTGGCACAAAGACAGAAATATAGATCAATGGAACAGAACAGAAAGCCCAGAGATAAATCCACGAACCTATGGTCACCTTATCTTCGACAAAGGAGGCAAGGATATACAGTGGAAAAAAAGACAACCTCTTTAACAAGCGGTGCTGGGAAAACTGGTCAGCCACCTGGAAAAGAATGAAACGAGAACACTGTCTAACACCATACACAGAAATAAACTCAAAATGGATTAAAGATCTAAACGTTAAGACCAGAAACCATAAAACTCCTAGAGGAGAACACAGGCAAAACACTCTCCGACATAAATCACAGCAGGATCCCAGAGTATTAGAAACAAAAGCGAAAATTAACAAATGGGACCTAATGAAACTTAAAAGCTTTTGCACGACAAAGAAACTATAAGCGAGGTGAAAGGACAGCCCTCAGATTGGGAGAAAATAACAGCAAACGAAGCAACACACAAAGGATTAATCTCAAAAATATACAAGCAACTCCTCCAGCTCAACTCCAGAAAATAAATGACCCAATCAAAAAATGGGCCAAAGAGCTAACCAGACATTTCTCCAAGGAAGGCATACAGATGGCTAAAAGACACATGAAAAGATGCTCAACATCACTCATTATCCGAGAAATGCAAATCAAAACCACAATGAGGTACCATTACACGCCAGGCAGGATGGCTGCTATCCAAAAAGTCTACAAGCAATAAATGCTGGAGAGGGTGTGGAGAAAAGGGAACCCTCTTACCCTGTCGGTGGGAATGCAAACTAGTACAGCCGCTATGGAAAACAGTGTGGAGATTTCTTAAAAAACTGGAAACAGAACTGCCCTATGATCCAGCAATCCCACTTCTGGGCATACACGCCGAGGAAACCAGATCTGAAAGAGACACGTGCACCCCAATGTTCATCGCAGCACCGTTTATAATAGGCAGGACATGGAAGTAACCTAGATGCCCGTCAGCAGACGAATGGATAAGGCAGCTGTGGTACATATACACCATGGAATCTTACTCAGCCATTAAAAAGAATTCATTTGAATCAGTTCTAAAGAGATGGATGAAACTGGAGCCCGTTATACAGACTGAAGTAAGCCAGAAAGATAAAGACCATTACAGGATACTAACACATATACATGGAATTGAGCAAGATGGTAACCATAACCCTATATGCAAAACAGAAAAAGACACACAGATGTATAGAACAGACTTTTGGACTCTGTGGGAGAAGGCGCTGGTGGGATGTTTCAAGAGAACAGCATCGAAACACGTATATATAACCTAGGGTGAAAGAGATCACCAGCCCAGGTTGGATGCAGGAGACAAGTGCTCGGACCTGGTGCACTGGGAAGAGCCAAAGGGATCGGGTCGAGACGGAGGTGGGAGGGGGGATCGGGATGGGAAATACATGTAAATCCATGGCTAATTCATGTCAATGTATGACAAAAAAATTTGTAAAGTCATTAGCCTCCAACTAATAAAAATAAATGAAAAAAAAAAAAACAAACCAGGGATTCATTGAGCTGCATGTGAGATGAATTCTGTCATTAGAAACTTTGCCACCAGGCTTAAGAAATATATTTAGAACTCATTTCTTTCAGGAAACAGGTTTCAAGATCTCCATAAGAAGTCTTTTATTAAGATAAATCACAGCTTTGTCAGTTTCTCCAGAAGTACCCTCTTTTTAATTCCCAAGGAGAATGGCAATAATAAAACTAAATTAACCGAGTAGGTTATTTTCTCTCTAATGGCCCCTGTCTTGATTAAGAGGATTCCGGTCGACGTATTTCCTGGGCTTCCCTGGTGGCTCAGGTGGTAAAGAATCTGTCTGCAATGCAGGAGACCTGGGTTTCATGCCTGGGTTGAGAAGATCGCCTGGAGAAGGGAATGGCCACCTCTTCCAGTATTCTTGCCTAGAGAATTCCACGGACAGAGGAACTGGGAAGGCCACAGTCCATGGAGTCACAAAGAGTCGGACACAGCTGAGCAACTAATACACATATTTTCTTACCATTTGCTTAGCAGAAGCAATCATTCATAGCATTTTATAGCACTTTCTAAAGAACATTTTGTGCCTTTTTTCTCTTTTGTAAGCTGCACCAGGTCTTGGTTGCCACACATGGGATCTTTCATTGTGGCGTGCACACTCTTCCTTGCAGTGAATGGGATCTAGTTCACTGGCCAGAGATTGAACCCAGGCCCCTGCATTGGGAGCAGCCACTGGATCGCCAGGGAAGCCCTCTAAAGAACTCTTAAAGTGAAACTTTTTGGATGTTCGCAGCAGCTCTGGGCAGTCCTAGTGATGATACTTGTTCTGCACTCTTGAGCCCGTGACCTCCCTGAGGGACACAGGGGCCAAGCGAGCAGATGCTACCCCAGCGCCAGACCACAGGGCCAGACTGGCAGTGTAAACTCCCTTCCAGTGATGTCCTCTTTTTACTGTTCCTCTGGTCAATTCAGTACTGTTTCCTTGGAGCTTGTGTTTAAAAGGAAATCCTAGATGTGTTCAAACATTACTGCCCACTTTCAGATGGATTGATATCTACCTAGGACTTCTCTATTAAACCCACCTGCCTGAGTACTGTGACTTGATTGGAGTTTTCTTGAAGTCACTCCTGAAGCACTGTGATGGCTTTGTCTAACATTAATAGATTTTTTAAAATGATATGTGTTGGGGAATGGCTATGAAAAAAGGGGAGAATCTGTTGCTACTGCAAACCAATTAAGGAGGCAACTTAAAAAGGAAATCTGAATTGTAACTATGTTTCTATTTCTGTAAAATACTGTCCTTACCTTGCAGTCTGTAGTTGATGTGCCCAGACACAGTAGTGGCTCTCGGGTTGCTCTTCTGCCATCTTCCTGTCTCCTTCAGTCCCTGCATGCGTATAGGAACTTCAGTGAGATAATGGGGCATTTAACACAGATTAATACTCTGTGCAATACTGTATTTAGTGTTTCTACTTTAAAGTTTCTAGGATGTTAATTTACATGCAAATAAAATACATGATAAGAGAGTTCTCTGCCTATTGTGTCTATATGACCTAAAAGTAAATGCAAAATATTTATCCCAGAGGGAAAATAAGTTAGAGCGTCTGTGTTCAAAGATTTTTGAAAGTTCTTATCTCAGGCCGAACCGTTGCTGGTGAACAGTGAAAGTCGCTCTGTCATGTCTGACTCTGCGAACGCATGGACTGTACAGTCCATGGAATTCTCCAGGCCAGAATACTAGAGTGGGTAGCCGTTTCCCTTCTCCAGGGGGTCTTTGCAACCCAGGGATCGAACCCAGGTCTCCTGCACTGCAGGTGGATTCCTCACCAGCTGAGCCACCAGGGAAGCCTGAACAGTTCTTGGCAGTTAAGGATTTAACAACTGCTAGAGTGTAAAGACAAAATAGTAATTCCGCTACATTAAAACACATTTTCTTAAGTGCAAATCTTCTCAATGCAGTTTTAGGGAAGAAGTATTTCCCCCTTATGGAAATATCAGTATGTTAATTCCTAAGAAGTCCTTTCTCGAAAAGTTGCAAAAATTCATATGATGTAGATTAAATGGTGATAAAAATTGAGTTGATCTCAGTGAGGCAGCAGTGAGTGGTGGCGTGAAGTGAGATCTAATTCGCTGCCCAGGAACTGAACCTGGGTAGCCTGAACGAAAACCAGGAATCCTAGCCACCAGACCAGCAAGGGCTAGAGGCTAGAAGCCAAGTTTCCCTGGATCTTTGACCAGTGAAAAATGCATTCATCATGGAGGCAGAATCGCTACATGCAGGTACAACGTTTATTATCAGAGACACAGCACAGCAACACGTGGGAAAGAACACGGAGGAACAGCTGGTCTAGTTACCACAGAAGCAAAGCAGAGACACACACCTGGAGAGAAAGGTTATGGGCGCCCCCTGGTGACAAGGAGCACAATAACCACGAGGTGGTGAAGTCCTTTATATAGGCCAGTTCTTCTGGGTCTTTGTCTTCCTTCCTGCCAAGTTTCTGGTTTCTTTCTTCACATCTGACCTATCCTGGGCCTCTGCCCTGGTGTGCACATACCCCTCAGCCAAGATGGATCTCCAAGTGGAGGCTTCTGGGAGAAGCAAGGCTCATCATGGTCTGGCACTTTCGCGGGACTTTTCACCCACAAGGAGCCTCTCTGCGCATGTGTAGTGTTTCCCTTCTCCCACAAGGGGGGTGGGGGGAGGGGAGATCTCTTCATCCTTGACTCAAGCAGGGTTTTGTCCCTCTTTGCCCTTGTCATGGCTACTAAAGTGTTCATGAGAGACAGACACTGGTTATTTACCCTCTTTCGGTTGTTACTTCCATTTCACAGGGCAAGCAGGACACTGACTGTAAAGGCTCAACTGGAGCCCAACCATCGCTTGCCTCAGGAAATGTAAACAGGCTAGATGTAAATGCCTAACCTGGAGTCCATCTGTCTCCTCCAGCAGCATTATGGGAAGACAAAAGGCGGAAAATTATGCCAATAAGGCACCACATGATGGTGCAAAAAGATGGATATAGACAAGGAAAGAAGGAATAAAAACTAAGCATTATGCTAATGGCAACCATTATGCAAGTTAATGGGGGGGGTGGGGGGGAACCTAATGGAAAACACTTGCTTTTATGCCATAAACCATCCTTGAATTCAGGTTGAATTGGATTTTTCACGATAAACTTTTCATCACCTCTGCATTGGCTTGTCGTCTACTTTGTGCAAAAGCCTGGAGCTCCTAACTACTAGGGGGTCTCCCATCC